TATATATGTGCGTTAAGCCGACATTTACAAGTTTGAATTTTACCTACAAACCTGCCAAAAATTTAATGGTCAACACAAAGCTAGTTAGACTTTGACGCAAAAATCAAAACTTTGAATTTCGCCTCCATTTACATGCTGTAGAAAATTGTTTGCACACGTTAATCAACCAAACATTTAGTCATCCGCCACAAAAGTAATAGCCAAGTAGGTTTTAGCTAATTTTTACCCTAAAAAAAGAATTTCGTCTCCAAGCATTTAACCATTTTAGGAAATCATTAAACCATCTTAGCCCAACTGATAATTTCTGTAAGCCCTCCCACCAAACAAAGTTGTAACCAAAACAAGTTTAATCAAATTTTTTTCGCAGAAAACGACAGTTTTGATTTTGCCTTCAAAATACAGTCCAACTTAAAAGAAACAATATTTGGGTAAAACAAGTTTTATCTCATTTTTAAGAAAAAAACAAAAATTTTAAATATTGTTTCTCAGTATAAGCTACCAATTTTATGGAATCGTTAGCTCAGGAGCTAATTTTAATCTAGCTAGTTTCTAGTTAATTTTGGCTAATTATAGTTAAGCTTAATTAGTTTATAATTAGCTAACATTTAGCATTAATTGAATATTAATAATTACTTTATCGTTAGCTAATTTTACTAGCCCACTTACTAAAAACTTTATTCTCAGAAACAAGTTAAAAACAATATTTGACTTGAACTTCATAAAATTTTAACTAAACATTCAATAGAAAATAGGCTAAAATTGTAAAAAATCTGTATCAAATTAAATATAATTTGTGTTTAAAAATTTCTAGAAGATTTTTTAAAACATCAAAAAATTATATATATGCCGTTGTTAATTATCTTATTGCTGTACCATATTTTTCGGATAATTAAAAATCATATCGCTTTTTTAACTTTAACTGCGAATTTAATATTGCAATTAGTCTGTAATTGCACCTTTATCGAAATTTTTGAGACATAACCTTTGTTTTTCCATTCCTAACGTTTATTTTATTAATAAAGCGTTAATTTGACACTGAAAAGCGTTTGGGATTTTCATAAATTTTACTATACGTTATTTTAAACGTCATTTTTTGTTAATTTCAAATTTATCACAAAAGATTACTCTCAATATTTTACAAAATATCTGCATGTTTAAAATTAATGATATGTATAATTTAACTTGGATCTCTCAATTAAGAAAACAAATTTTCATACTTTGCATTGTAAAAATCTCTTATCTAATCTTTTATCTAACAATATTCTATTAATAACATTGTAAACATTCTGCTATTAATTATTTCACAGCTGTGTCATATTTTTCAGATAATTTTTCTACTTTAAAAATAATTTAGAAAAATAAATTTTTTTTTCTACTTTAACTGACAATTTAATATTGTTAGTCGTTATTTGTATCTTTATCGAACTTCGTGGTGTGACGTTACCTTTGCTTTACCATCCTTATAATTTATTTTTTCACATCAGTTTTTAATAAATTTTACTAATTGTTATTTGCACGTCGTTTTAAGTCAATTTCAATTTCCTCTCAGAAGATTACTTTCAGTATTTTTTAAAAGATCTGCATGCTTGAAATCATCAAGAATTAGTTTCAACGATAAGCATAATTTAACTTGGACTTGGAAAAAATTGTTTCATTATAAAAGCCTTTCATCTTTGAAACATATTAAACACAAAAGTTTTATGAAATTCATTTTAGTAACAAATTGTTTTAAAATTTCCCAAGCAAGAAAAATGCCTAAAAAATTAGTATTTTCTATTACTATGTTTCAATTCTTCACCTGAATCAATATAGTTCTCAGTAAACTTTTCATTCAATGAAATTCTATTTCTGAGAAAACCAATTTTCAACAGGAAATTGGAATTTAAAAGCCGTATTTAGCGAACTTAAATTCTTTTATAATTCAAATTACTATAAACACGAAAAAAACGTAATTAATTTTGCTGCATATACATCTAAAGGCTTTTTATAGATATTTGGAAAAATTCATTAAAAGTAAAATATTTTCCGTAATTGAAAACGGTAAAACTCTTTCCTATTTTAATTATATTTTTTTAAAAAATAGCTTGCTTAATTTAATCAGAGGAGCAATATACATTTTTTAACAAAACATTTAAGAAAGGGGTTAATTAATTGTTTTACAGATAATTAAAACAAACTTCAGTAAAATAAGCCAATAAATTTCGGAAACTTTATTATAAGTAGAAAATATTAATCTCTAGATCCATATTTTAAAGAAACATAAATTAAAACAAATAAAATTGATGATTAAAAACCTAATTCTTTTCAATTCTTCCTTCATTACAATTCAATTTTTCTTTACAAAACTTTCGCGAATGAAATTTAATTAAAAAATGGAATGAATTCCTGAGAGAAAACATTGAATGATTAAAAAAACAAAGTATCACGTCTCTTTACACTGCCCTAAGCCTTGATTAATATTTCATTTCATTGTTGAAAGTTCCTAATTATTGGGTATAATTCGAACTAAAGAATATTTACTAAGTACGTGCAATCAAAAACTGAGTTCAAAGAGCTAATTATTCCCTTTCTTTGAACCGAAGAAATGAAAAAAATCCCTAAAAATTTCTCCAACTTTTCCCCATTGGCGTGTAATAGCTATCTTTTCCCTCAAATCCACAACTCCAGATCTGCATTTGGTCAGTCGTAGCTTCAAGCTATTTGGCTTGATATCCCTTCTACGAGGAAATTAAAACCACGAAAAAGTAATTGCTTCCCCCTTAATTGCAGTTGTGCACAACTGAGAATAATCTCTGTTTATTTTATGATCTCAAGATTCTGAAGTTTATCTTACGAAAAGGCTGTTAAGGAAAAGGTTTTAATGAACTGTTATTTGATTTTTTTTTCCGATTCTCTTTACTTAAACTATATGATGGATTTAAATTAATTGTTAAGATATCCCTCACGATATTTTAATTTTTTTTTCTCCTTATAACAAGAGAAAATTTATTTTCTCAGAGTTTTATTGATTTTGTTTCCCTTAACTTTCATTAATTTTTGATTTCGGTGGTTAAAACTACTTTTTTTTCTTACCTTGCATTAGCCGCAAAGTGTGCTTATCTGACTTTATTCGCGAGTAGAATTAATTGATTGTTATCATGTGAGATTTTTTTTTAATATTTAGTTAAAAGTAATCAGAAAACTCGCCTTTAAGATTTTAATTAATAATATGGTTCTAAGCATATGTTGTTAACAAGGTAGGAAATATGAAATTGTATCCAAAAATAAATGAATCAGAAAGAGATTAAACATTTCCTCAAAGGAGACTTAACTCTCAAATAAACCCTTAAACTTTCAAAGAGGAAATGCAATTATTTAACAATTTTAGATAGTACGATTATGATTGATTAATGTTACTTAAAAATACAACTAGAACTTGATGCACCCGAGTTAATAATCTAGTAGAGATGTGTAGAACATTGACAGGTATTCTCTACTTTGGTGATTTTTTTTAGCAGGTCTATTGCCTGATACACTCTTGCACGTTTAAACTGATGCTTTTTTTCAAAATAAAGAGCCATTAGTATTCTCTACAATGATGTTGCACACGAACATACATTATCAATAACAAAATTAGGTGATTAAAGAAAAAAATGAGTTACTGAAGAATAAATAACTCAATAAAAAATGTTATTTTTCCTTAGTCGTCTGTTCCATTCTCCATGATTCTCATATTTTATTATTTGCCTATAGAGCTTTTACATAGTATGAAATTCTTAGGTAGATAATAATTTTTATTATAAAGTAGGAAATAATCAGCCTATTTAAAAGTGTTCCTGAACTCCTCAAAGCCTTGTAGACAATATCAGTATCTCTTTCATTGTATGTTACATACATAAACCAATGTATTTACATCAGTATAATTTTAGACATATATATGCTAATGATTTTTAAATTTTTACTCTGTAATTCCTCCCATGCTCATTGATTTCTTCAGCTTCAAAATATACTGAAGTTAAATTCCACTACATTTTCAATACTTGTTTTAAGCCAGATTAGATACAGTGGAGTTTAAAAAGTGCATATTGGTAAAGTTTTATACTATTTAAACCTTATTGTTGAGTAGTGCTCAACTATTACAGCTTCAGATTATTTCTGCTTTTACTCAAGGGGACTAATTTATCGTAAAAACGTGATATAATTTAAGGGCTTTGTGCAATAACAATATTAAGCCACATTGTCAAATTGATCAGTTGTAGCCTTCATAAGAGTGTTTTTAGTAAAAAAAAAAACATTGCAAATTTTCGGCAGGTAAGAAAAATGTCTCTGAATATTGTGTTTCAAGTATCTATCAAGGAACAATACTAAGGAAAACCTTTAGTAAGAGAGTGGCTTAAGAACTATATTGACCCTAGTTCTTCAATTATGGAGTTATATTGATAGTTTCACCACTAAAACTGCAATAGAATATCTAAACTTATGAAACCAAACTTAAATCTATCGATATTTGCATGAAAGATGTTCCAACATAAAACTAGCTGAGAAACAAAAAGAGTAATACTTTTTCAATTATGTTGTTAAATCGCAGTAAAAATAAAAAATCGCTGATATGAAATCGCAAGTATAGTATAGTATAAATTATAGATACTTATAACATACGGAATTTGATGGTGAAATAAGTACACTAAATTATTTCGTAAAACTTAATAGAGATTCAGCCCATAAGATCTGTATATAATATGCAATCACTAAAATTTTTTATCGAGAATTAAAAGTGTGTAGATTCTACAAGAGTTTAATTCTATCACTGTTAGTTCTGTACATGATCAAGTTATCTTCAAAAGTCCTATAAATTTTAACTTGTTTTAGGAGTTCAAAGTTAGTTTTAAGGAAGACGTACATAGAAGTGACCTGCTGAAACAATATTTTACAAATTTTAGTAAATTGTTTCTTAAAATATGCATTATTTTGATGGAATTTAAATGAAAACTTGAAGCAAGAAATGCATAATAGTAACTCACCTGTAATGCATTGATTTTCCAGGTACTCAACTTGATGCAGTGACCTACGAAAGGCTTCAGGTGCTGTCCTTCGGTCATGCCTGCTGAGAATACAAGTTTTATTTAGTCGGTCATATCTGGCTGACCGACATACAAAACTGTCTTCCACACTGCATTTCTCCAGACATATGTCCCTGGATTCTATTGCAGTGAGGGGTTTATCATCATATCCGAATAGCTGAACTCCGGGTATTCGATCAAAGGCCCACTGTCTGTGACAAGGTTTGCCTGCAGGAAGGAAAAATAAAATTCAGTTTCCCAATTACCAAGTACACACTTAGAAGATTAGGTTCAGCATTGAACCATAACCAAAAATAATTCATTGGTCGTTTGAACATTATTACGGCGCAAATTTTTTGAAACTTTAGAATGTTGTCAACTGAACCACGGTTCCGTATAAGTTGAACCATAGTACCTTATAATCAAGTTTAAGAAGTTTGGCGCAAAACCAAAATTAAAGTTGCCAAAAATTAACACGGTTTTATCGCTCACGAACGGCTTCATAGCTAATTTAAGTCTAGCACACCATAATTTTTAAAATTTTTTAAAATTGAAATTATGCTCTAAGAATAGCTTGAAGCCGTGATTTAACTGTTCAGAGCTAAAGTTTAACTCTTCAGGATCTTATAAGTGTTTTAGAATAGCAATTATGCACTAAGAACTGATTGAAGCAACGATTTAACCCTTAAGAACTACAGTTTAAATCTACACGGCTTTTTAAGAGTATTAGGATTGAAATTATGCACTATGAACAGTTTGAACCAATGATTTAAGTATTGAGAGCTACGGTTTAACTCTACATGAACTCTAAATTATACTTAACTCTACATGTTAGGAATGCAATTTTTATTAAAAACAATTTGAATCAATGATTAAACTGTTGAAAGATACATAATTCTACATAGGTGTGATTGTGAGCCCAACTCAAAAATAGTGAAAATTTCTTGAGTAAAATCATTGATGACGCATTTCAAAAAATTAATGTCTTTATAAATTTAAATCATTTATATTTTCAAAACATGAAATTCTAAACAAATTATATCCAGCATAATATAAATGAATATTTATTTATAAGTTTACTTTTATCTCTAATCGCATTTATTATACTACCAGAAAAAATATTTCCTAACGAAAGAGATGCCAAGTGTAAATTCTAGTTCTAATATTTTTAAATAAAATATACAAGAATTTTTATACATAAATGCGATCGATGATTTCTTGAAACTTCTGGACCTTGGGTTTCCGAAAACTTCCAGATCGCGGTTAGCGAAAAATCCGGAAATCCGGATTTTTTCCAGAGCACAATCATTTCTGTCTATATAAATAAAAGTTTCTTCCTCTTGTATCCCACTTTCAGAATTAATTATTTTTTTTCAAGCAATTATTTATTTTACAATTCAGTTAATTTTTCTCTTGAATCATAACAATTATGATGAAAATTGAATAATGAAAAAACAAATGATGACTGAAAAACAATCACGGGGGTAGGTGAGTGAAACGACAGAAAAAAACATGTCCATGCATTAAACAAAAATAATAAACTTAAATAACTTTAATACAGTTTAATAAAACTTAGTTTCAAATACCAATATTAAATACACATATACTAATGATGCATATAAAGAGATGGATATCATATAATGCATGTAAAACAATGTATCAATACACACTTTATATGTTTTCAAATTCAATAATGTGTGTAATCTCTTATTTATCTAAGAGTCAAGATATTTTACTATTCTATCGAAACATAACTGAAAAAGAAAACTGCATAATTTGCTTTTTTGCGATGAATATATGTTTGGATTTAAATCCAAAAATATATCGATACCGGCAAAAATAAGATTTTTTTGAAAAGAATAAGATATGCTTTCATTCAAATGAACAGGAAAAATGGAAGGAAAAAAAAGCATGGCATTCATGAATAACATAAGGGAAATTGATATTCCGAAGACATTTCCCAGAAATATGGACTCCTTGTATTGATTTGAATACTATTCTTTTGTTGAAACAAAAATTACTTCGATAACTAAAACTTATTTTTTGTTGTGGAAAATAACAAAAACAGAATCATTTAACATACAGAGTCAAGTTTTAAATTAGTGTTTATGAAAAGAAAATATAAAGCTTCTACAAACATAAAAACATATTGGTTTTTATTGTAAAATATTTAATCGAAAAATAGGGAGATATATCTGTTATTTTTGATGGTTTTGAAAGAATATCTTTTATCAAATCTCGTTTCATTAGGAAGACTTCAAAATATAAACTCCAAATGTCTATCTGAAATTGGATCTTAAAAAAATGTCTTTCAACTCTTTGCTTCATTTTTTATATTTGTAAACACAAGAAAAATTAACTCTGGTTGCTTTTATATAAAAAAAGTTACTTCTACTCAAATTAATCACTATTTATGTAGTAGAACTTATAGAAAAATTCCTAAACCATAATATCAACATAAAGCATAAATATTTAAATATATTCATAACTAATGATGCATATAAAGAGATGCATATCATATGGCATTATATGATACATATGAAGCATATCTTTATCATATAATCCATATAAAGTATGTACAACTAAATCTATTTGCAACTTCAAAAATGTATATAATCTCTTATTTGCAACTTTAAAAATGTATATAATCTTTTATTTGCTTAAGAGTCGAGATATTTTTTAGTTACAAATAATGGAATATTCCCAAATAAATCCTTAACTCAAAATATTGTAAAATCTCATTTCTCGATGATTATGATGATTATTAAGGATCAGTCAATGGATTTTAACTAATTTTTTCTTACAGATTTTCTTACAATAATATGAAAACTTAGTCCTTGAAATTTGAGGCTCTGCAGTTCTGAATTTAAGAAAAAGAGAAATTTTAATTTCTAAATGTTGATAAAAAAATCTAGTAGTTTTTTATTAAATTTTTAATTTTTATTATATTTAATTTTTATTAATTTTATAAAATTATTAAATTTTGATTTGTACAGGTAAGCATTCTAATATACGAAAAAGAAAATAACTCTATACATCTAAGTAAAAATTATTAAAAAAGGGAAAATATAATAAAGAGCACTAAATAAATAAAATTTTATTTTAGAATCAATGCAAGGCTCTGAATTAAAAACTTCTATCATTTCTTATTTTAACTTTTTACTTCAGCATTAATATTTTGGTTTAGATACATTAAGAAAAATTGAAATATATAAAAACTAACAACATAAATTAAATTTTGATTTGGATTCAAAATCAGACTCAGAAGAAAATTGTGGCATTTCGTGTTTTCTTTTCATTTTTAAATTTTTGCAGTAAAGGCATTAGTATATTAATTTGGTTACATACGTTTGGTAAATAAATTTGGTTACATACATTAAAATATTTTTTTTTTTAATTTTTTATTATTCCTTCGTCGCTTGTGCGGAGGTGGAGAGTTTTTACACTTCAGCGCGAATGATGTACAGTCCGCAAAAAAAAAAACGAATCACCCTGAATAACTTTCGTTCTAATGATCNCATCATTTCTTACTTTAACTTTTTACCTTTAGAATTAATATTTTGGTTTAGATACATTAGAAAAATTGAAACATATAAAAACTAACTACATAAATTAAATTTTGATGTGGATTCAAAATCAGACTCAGAAGAGAATTGCGGCATTTCGTGGTTTCTTTTCGTTTTTAAATTTTTGCAGTAAAGGCATTAGTATTTTAATTTGGTTACATACATTTGGTAAATAAATTTGGTTACATACATTAAAATATGTTTTTTTAATTTGTTATTATTCCTTACTGGTCTGTGCGGAGTTTTTACACTCCATCGCGAATGATGTACACATCAAGTACTGCTGCTACAAATAAATAAATAAAATAAAACACATATTAAAATTTTAAGGGAATATAATAATCCTAGATAACAGCATTTTAAAATGTTTGAATTTGAGAACAATTATAATAAACAAAAAATATTTTTAGCGCGTAAATAAATTTAAATCACAACTGCCCTTTTAATACCAGTTAATATAGTAATTTTTTCAATAAACATCATACATTTCATTGATAAGTTAATGATAAGTGCAACTTAAAAGTATGTATATACATTGATTGTTAAACACATCTTATCATCTTATCATAACTATTTTTACGATGGTAAAATACACCATACGTACTTTGTTACTATTTACATTGTATGAAGAGAAAAAAAAATTAACGATACTTTAAATGTTACAAACTTAGTTATATAATATATATATATACTTATGAAATTCTGTCATAAAGACTTAAATTACCCAAGATAAGTAAATTAATTTGGATTGGAAGAAAATACTTTCATAATTAGTTTATTTCAAAGTATATCTAAGAATTCATTTAACAATATATATGAAGAAGTTCAGAAATATGTCGACGTTTCATCCTGGTAATATACTTAATTATAATATATAACGCGATTAATTATTTACCTAATTAAAAGGCAGTTGCAGTAATTGAATAAATTAAGAAAAATATTGCAGCTATCCATTCGCAAGGTTAATTATTTAAGGGTACATATATAAAGTATATGCGATTTATTTATTAGAACCGAAACATTGATGAAAACGTCATTGCATTAATATAAATAAGGAATGCTTTTTTTTTAACATTGAGTTTCGTCAGTTTTCATGCAAATACTTTTTTATTATGAATAAAATTTAATTAGCAAAAAGCAATGTATTTTCATTATTAATTTAAGTTAGGAGTAATAGGTTTAAATGAAAATATTATTAATCGTAAGAGCTACTTTACTTTATTTAATAAATATGGCAATAAATATGTGATAGTCTATATTTATTTAAAATTAATCATGCCGTAAATTGTTGGGTCTAAACTATTTGACTTAAAAATATTTCTTCAGTCATTTGAATTGTTATCTAATTATTTATAAAACAAACATTTATAGAACAATTATAATTATAAAGTGAGCTAAATAAAACCAATACATCTTAAGAACTTTTCTATTAGTATTTATATGGTCACGAACAAAGACATTATTAATAGTTTGGATTATTAAATTTAAATATGCTCTCTAGTTTGTATTAAAATACGAAATCTGACAAAAAAATTCACTTTTTCGGAATAAATTTTCTTTTTGTTTTCTGGAGTCTGGATCCTCAAAATTTGGGTGTTATCATAATCTAAAAAGTATGGTTCTAATAGTTTCGGTCAAAAGTTTGGGCCCATATATGTATAT